ATGAAGGGAATAGATCACAGTTAGCAAATAAGCTACTAGAACGTTTAGGATAGAATAATTCAATTGAAATACATTTCATGCATAAAGACAACACGTGATAATTATTTGTAGTCATTCTAACTAAAGCACTGTCCTCAGAAGAAATAATATCCCTTCAGTCATATGTTCTGTGGCTTCTGTGAATGACCCATATTAATTTGATTTCTAGAAACTGGCTCTTTAAATTGATGCTGGGTAACTGCTTCCATGCTAGACTATAGAAATAAAGGTATTACATCATTGTCCAAACACGTCTACTTCAATAAAAGTATTTGTTTGCAAAAAAAAAGAGATATATTTTAAATCTTTTACACAACGATCAGCATGCATGCCATTTTCCATTTCAGGCTAAGCATACATTTCAGATGTGGAAAAAGCAAGCATGTTGAAATAATTTGAGGCATGGGTATAGTCAGATCAGTCTTGGTAATCCAGAAGGGAGGGGTGCCCAGTGTATTATTACGTTTCATATATTATTTTTCAAGAGATGGATGCAATCAGTCATCTTCTCGCATATGGTTTGAAAAAAAAAAAAAAAATTGTCTCGCTGGCAAGTAAACTGTTATTTAAGTACACAATCCACGGTACTACAGAAACAGTTTTGCCAAACTTGTCCAAGTATTCTCACATCCTTAAAGATGGTATAAATATCATTTATGGCAAGCAGTTTCCTTCAGACTATATGGAATGCCTTCCTGCTCCCCTGATCTAAGTGTCCCAGTTTGCATTATGGCCTTTATTGCTTCTGTTTGATGGAGTGATCAGTAAAAATTTAATGACACTATAAAATAATAAAAATGTCATTAATTTACCACGGATCCTGGATGCAGTGGTTGTAAAGTTACATTAATAAACAGAATATTTTTTACAACAAAAAGCATTGTTACGTGGGAACGTATAAATAACACACATAAATTTAAGAGCAATTTTACTGTTAGCACACACATTATTATGGAATAGCCAATAAGTGTATAAAACATAGTATATAAAATTTTATGAAAATATACTGTGCACATCAAAAATTCAGCTTTTATCTAAGTGCAGAGAAAAGCCATTATTGTGTGCTTACTGTTTCACTGCTGTTCTTTCACAAGATCACAATTTTATATTTGTTCCTCGTCATTTGAAGTTTGCAGCCTTTTCTGAAGCAGGGGCTAAAGCTTCCTTTTGCTTCACTCCCTGCTCCACTGAATCATTCTCTTTACCTTCCACACGTGAAGCAAGAATTGATATTTTCTGGCAGAACGTGACGGAAAAGTTGCTAATTTAATGCAAAGCTAAAAATAATGCCAGAGGGGTTGAAAGGCTTGCTTGGCGACACTGGAAATAAGGGATAACTATCTCACAGTCTATCTGTCATCACTGGGGCTGCTCCATCACTGACTGTGATAATATGTGAATATGATGGATGCCACAGCCTTGTGGCTCATAACATTTAACATTCATCAGCTCTCACTAACGGGGGCTTTATAATTTAAATATCTTTATTTAATATGCAACATCCACCTCATACATCATAATTTCAAAGCACTTAGAGAACCAACAGTCCTGCAAGACAGTTGAGCAGACTTTAATTTTTTTCAATAACTTCTACGTTTTCTGCATGTTTGTGACTGACAACGCATAAATAAGTGCCTAATCATATCACAGAATGGAAAATTAAGGTTTGGCTGCTAAGAAGATTCTTTTTTCTCCTCTTTTTCTCATTTTGAAGAAAGGATTATATTTTACTACATGTTCAAAGTATAAAGAAGCACAAAGGACCTGATTTGTGTTGGGAAGTGCTTTCAGTTTCCTAAAGCAAACTCCAACTGACTGTGGTGATCTTGTCATGAGAAAGAGTTGGCAGCATCATATCTTAAAAACTTTTTTTTGCTGAGATTTAAATGGAAAAAACTTAAAGTAACTATACAGTATAAGCTCCATAGCCAGCACAAAAATAAGAAAAAAAAATAAATCTGTTCAAAATAGGGGTCAAATGTGCTTTTCACAGGAGAGAAAACACCTGCACTGTCCATAGCAATGCATTTTATTACAAACTCACCAAAATTTTCTGCTAATGGAGGTTAGGCAGGCAGCAATTATTCCAGCAGCTGATGTACATGTGTGCAGATGGAATGCATGTGTAGGTAACATATTTGTTCGTGCAGCTATGTATAACCATTTATTTTTAATGAAGGTATGCTTTTTTTTTTTTTTAATCTAGGAATATGAAGTAGAGAATCAATCTTCCTCTCAGTCTTACTTGGGGAAACGTGTACTTATAAAAGATTTTTGGTCTATTTTCTCTAGGATGAGTTCAAGATGGGAGGAAAGACAAATCTCACTAAAAAAAGATTTGAGCTTACTGGGACAAGTTTCTTCTCTTATAATAAATGTCATTTGAATTTGTTCTATTTCACGGAATTGTAAAGGCATCTACTTCATAAAAGCATTTTTAGTATTGAGGAAGATTTTTCTATATTTTAAAGTTCTCTGAATTTGTGTAAAACCAATGAAAATATTGACCTTTTTTTTCTATCACTATGATGATAATTTTCAGTGAAAAAAGCAAGCAAAGGAATGACTTTAAAAGGCATTTCAAAGACCTAAATATATCTAGCTTTGTTAAAGCATCTCATGAATTAGGAGGGGGTTATAAAATAACTATAAATACAGCTCCTTTGTTTGACAAGAGCAGGTATTTTTATGGCATAAGTGCTTTCATTTTAGTGTTTCTAAACCTTATCATGCAATTTTCCCTTTTCTCCTTCCATGTCAAAATATTGATATTCTTGCAGAAACTTTTTCTTTTCTTTTTCTTTTTCTTATTTTTTTTTTTTTTTTCTTCAACAGAATATTTTCTGGTAAAATCAAAGAGAATGAATGACTAGAAAGATATTCCAAATGTGCATATTGATATGTAGCTGGGTCTGTTGATTTTTATAGCAGAAAGGTATTTCTCCTTTTTTCTGAAACACACTTAAAGGCAGTTCTTCCAAGAATACTGCAGGTGCTGTATTAACATCCTTAAGAAAAAGCTTTTAGTGCAAATATTTTGGAAGAGAAAATAAATGTGCCAAAAGCTGTTTTCTTAGCACTGATCTTTGTTTTTATCTCAACTGCAAATCAGCCCTTTGCAATGGAACACAGCATCCTTGATAAACTTATTTTTCATTCTCTCTACCAGTAAGACAGATCCCATCCTGATGATTCAGGTGTATTATTACACTGCACAACATTTTTCAGTAAAATGTGGGGCCTCTATTATTGTAGTGCCTTTCTGCAGTCAAATTTTATTTGTAATTCTTTCTTTTCTCTTAAGTTCCTTTGTGTATGTAAGCTCCTTCATCAGCCATGGATCTTACAGAAGAAAACAAAGTAATTAACCAAATATAAAATGCAGAGTTATTTTGTCTGACAACTGGGAGATTCTGAGGAACTTTTAGAAATGCATTTAGTACCTGAAATGCCTCAGCTGCATGTTGTGGCAAATCCAGTGTCAGACTGAGCTTTCTTTTCCTCTGCAAATTAAACAGAGAATAATTTAAAACATCCATGGCTGAAGGAACCGAAAGCATGAGGAATCAAAACAATTTCTCACTTTTCCTGATGGGATCTCATGACTGAAACACAATGACAATAGAAAAATAAGAATATTGGAGAGCAGAAGCAGTTGGAGGAGGAGCAAATGAGGAGTCAGGGCCATGTTTTGTCCTGAAGAACATTTCCCACCGAGTTCCTGCCATCTTTTAGGACAGAATCCCCCAATGTTTTCTCATTGTGTCCTGTGTGCACAGCACAGAAGTAGGTCATTGAACAATAGACTGAACAGCAGTCAGCACTCTACTTCTGCATAATGCATTAGGTGGAACATGGAGGAAGTGTTGGTGGAGCTGAAAGCTGGTATTTCACGTCTGTAAATTGGAGCTGACATGACATTTAATATTGTTTCATAGTAATGAACAACAAGGTTTCATTCATTCACAAGTACAACATAATGCCAAGTTTAATCTGAAGAGGTAACAACAAGGCAAGAGGGAAAACATGCTATGTTCCTTCAAATGAGAGTGCTAAATTAATGATAACCATTGAACACTCTGCTACTGATACACAGCACTGCAGAGACCACTACTGAGAGACAATATTACCCTGCCTTTACTGTGCCCTTGTCCAGGGTTAACATCTAAAATACCTTTCAGTTTCCACTTTCTGCTTCCAGGTTTCCTATGGAGGTCTCCAGCTCTCAGAAGCTTTCTGGTTTTTTTTCTTTTTTTTTTTTTTTTTTTCTGGGAGTGGGCATTCTTTTTCCTTTTTTCTTTTTTGTCTTCTGAAGTTCCCACTGAGGTACGACTTAAATTTCTAGACAAAATAATATTGGTTCTGTCCTCTATTATTCCTTATTTTAAATATTTGTCTTTGAAAATCTCTGCATAAAATTCAGACTTGTGTTTTCACAGAGGTATGAATGCAAACTTAAATCTCAGAGTGGGGGAAAAAAAGCTTTTTTTTCCCCCATTAAAAACCCGGTGCATTTTAATACAAACTCTTCTTTCAGCTTCTGAATTTTCATATTTCCCAAATGTTGATTGTCTTTTTCAGTTTAAGTTGGAAAATAAGTGGAAAGGCAAAGTGAGCAGCATCGATCAGCACTGTGTGCTGCCAAGAGTGTTTTGTATTTGCATGTACAATCGTTTATGCATTATGGCACTGCAGATCAAAATAATCTCAAAGTTTCTGTATATGTTTCACATTTAAAACTGATTTTCATAAATGCAAACATTCAGAATCTGTAAAAAAAAAAAAAAAAAAAAGAAAGAAGAAAAAAAAAAATTGTCCCTGAGCTAAAATTCTAATTAGATGCATTCATTATTTGTTCAGATTTAAAAAATAAGGCATGTATCAATGCATACCCATATGCACTGGCATATAATGAGAACTGTCCTATATGGAGCATTAAGAGCCCTTCTGTTCTTTTCCAGGAAAGAACAAGGTTTGAAAATTTAGGCCCGCAGTTAACAGGGAAACCCAATGAAGATGGAAAAATTGGCCCTGGTGTCATCGATCTGACCAGGCCAGAAGATGCAGAAGGTGAGTTGCAATTTTGACCATGGCTTATTGAACACTGCAGCACAGGATGAGATGGCTGAAACAGTGCCAGTGCCATCAGTGCTGCCTGTGCTACATCCCAGGGTAACACTTGATTGATTTCTGCCTGAGCTGGTGAGATTCCTGTAATTCCATCACAAAGTGTGGAGACTTGGAAAGGACTGTGAACCCCTTCAGCCTTTCTGCAACACAACTGCCTTTTCCTCATTTTATACTCTTAATACAATTTTAGGAAATACTGAGAAAATTATCCCAGGAAGGATACACATTCCCCATGTCTTTAGTGTTTAACAGCTTTGAGGAAGGTTATAGCATTTTCAGAAATCTGCCCATCGTGCACCACCTATTCGAGATTTAGCAGGCAGAGAATTCTATTCACAGGCAGCCATCAAATGATAATGGAAAAATACTTCACATTTTCTGTATGGAAAGGTCTTTTTCGTTATATAAGTGTTCAGTGCACTCATTTCAGCGAGAGTTTTGTATATATATCTATATATATAGATATAGATAGATATATATTTCAAGCCCCAGGTGGAAGTCAGTGTTTATGAGGACTGGGTTGAGTCTCTAGCAGGATTACCATGCCGTGGATGTCACTGGGATCCTCTCTGCCCTGCACATGTACATATACAGGAACCCTCTCTGTCAGAAGATTAATGTACTATTCAGATAGAATATTATGCAGGATTTTACCCCCTCAATTTACTTCTGTTTGAGAATAATTTTGCCCTTTTAAAGCTGAAATTCCAGTTATGGCTTAAGAAGGTTAAAGCACCTCTGAATTTTTCCATTAACATCCAAACATCTGACAGATCCAAGGTCTGGTTTTTTTTCTTGGATCAAAAGAATAGGACCAGTAAACTTTAGGGTGCTATTATTTATGAACTTCATTTATTCATCCTTAATACAATTTGACTGGCCATGGCATCATGTGTAAACAGAAAAATAACAGACAGAATGTAAGTAAAAAATACCTTTCAGATGACTGTTTTGCAATGATTCATTTTTTTTCTAGAAAAAAGAAATCAGGAGATACATGGACTTTCCAAAGCATTTTTTGACCAATCGGTTATTTATGAAGTGCTTTATAAAGAAACATTCATCCAGCAGCAATATTTCACACTTCAACACATTGAAGAATATTTTTTTTTGGTCAGTTTGGGTGAAAATCTGATGGGCATTCTTACAGATGTATATCTGTGGCTGGCTCAGATGACATCAGGCCTCTGACCCCATTGTTGGTTTAACTAATTTCCTTCAATTCATCCATTCTCTTCCTAGTGTCCTTAATTTAATATCTTGATACCCCCTGTGGCAGTGGCAGCCTCCCCTGTCACTGGATAGTGCAGAGTGAAGCTTTGCCATGTGTAACCCAAGCTACAGTGATGTGTGCCAGTTTAAGGACAGTGTGCCTGTCTTTCTAGAGCTACTGGGGCACTTTGAGGCATTAGAAATCCGAGTTCATGAATGGATTCAGATTTCCAGAATTTGTTTTGCAGCCAAGAGATATCTCTGGAAAAGTGATGCTGGGTGCATAGCACTGCTGATCTGAAAAAAAACATTGGCAGGAGTTCTAAACTGAGCTGCTTATTTGTCCTTCTCATTGTAGACAAGGTGAATTTAGATGTTAGCTGGATGAAAGAAAAAGACATTCAAAATATAACCTGAGTTTTGCCCCTTACATTTGGCAAGCAGGCTGAGAGATGGCACTTCCAGCCTAACATAATTTACAGTGGAATTTACAGTGCATTGCAGGCAGTGCTGCTGAGCTCTCAGCACTTAAACTGTGGTCTCTGATCTGCTGTACCACGCTACAGGCTCTGCCCAGCTTCTAATTGTCCTGAAAGGGTTTCAGATATTCCTAGGTCTGTCAATGTTTTTTTATACGTGCTCCTATTCTTTTGTGCTTCCAAACTTCAGCCCTGGCTTACTATGAAACTTGACAGCTTGTTCTTCAGAATCATGGAATCGTTTCCTTTGGAAAAGACCCTTAGGATCATCAAGTCCACGGTGAATCCATGTCCCAGAGTGCTGCATCTTTTAAATACCTTCAGGGCTGGTGACTCAGCCCCTTCCCTGGGCAGCATGTTCCAATGCTTGGCAGCTTTTCCAGTGAAGGAATGTTTCCTTTATGTCAAATCAAACCTCCCCTGGCACGACTTGAGGCCATTTCCTCTTGTCCTATCACTTCTTCCTTGCAAAAAAATGCTGAGCCCCTCCTCTATGCAGCCTCCTTTCATGTTGCTGTAGGGAATGATAAAGTCCCCCCTGAGCTTCCTTTTCTCCAGGGTAAACACCCTCAGCTCCATCCTCATCAGACTTGTGCTCCAGACCTTTCACCAGCTTTGTTTCTCTTCTTTCACCCCCTCTAAGAATGCCTTGCTGCATTTCATTGTGTTGCCACAGTCACAATCCCAGCTGGATGTCAAAGGTTCCTAATAGGCACAGTCATGTTCTTCAAACACTTCATGTGTTTCACACCTTCCTTTCTGTATTGTCATTTTTACTTTAAATCTTTTCTTTCTCCTTTTTTTTTTCTTTTAGGTACTCTTTAAATGGAGGTTGCTGTAGAAATCTTTAGCCAATATTTGTGTGGTTTTGTGTGTGCTTTTACACATTTAAAACAGGGAATAGAGATATCTGAAGTGACATATTGATGGCCAACTTTTGATGCCCTGTCTTTTCTTGTCAGAGATGCATCCAGGTCTCTGATGCCAGCTGCAGCTGTGACAGAGAGTGGATGGCTCTTAGATCTGCCAGGTGGTTCTGCTCCCATCACCAGGATTTTAGGATTTCACAGTTATGGAGTTCACTACATTTAGAGAGGACATTAACAATATGCAGAGCGTTCTTTAAAAGGGTGGTGGGGGCGGGTATAAGGGTGGGGCAGTGGTGCAGTAGATTTTTTTTTTTTTCTGAGCTAATTATTCCAAATTTAGTCCCACTTCTGGCCACAAACTGGGTGTAGAAGTGCAGTTTCATTCCCTGCCTACCTGCACACCTGCATTTCCATAGGAAACTGAAGTGTGCAGAGCCATCCATCCCAGCATTTGACAGAGCCCAGATCTGGGAAGAGCTCCAGGTTCCCAGAGTTTTGACACAACATTTAAGGTTCATGTAATTTGTTAGAAGGCATATCAGCAGACTCCTGCTTTATGGAAAGCCTTTGTAACAGTATCCAGCAATGATTTCTCTCTGCTTCTTACAACTTTTCTATACTTCTTACTGCTTTTCTATAACATACATTGGTGATCTGAGTTTGACATGATCACTCATGTTTTCCTGTAATTTTAGGAGTGCTTCTGGTTCTGACTCATTGACCAGAAGCTGAAGCTACAGGTTTATTTTTTTTTCTTTGAGTCATGAATTATAAGTATTGAAATTCTTTAAACTTAGAAATTAGACAAATATGAAATAGTATAGAATGATTTCTTTTAGCTCTTTGTCCCTGCCCAGTGTGTGAAAAACTTTTTAAAGATTAATTAAAGGTATGATTTAATTAATGGTTGCTAGTTGCACTTTCAGAGATAGGAAGTTGTATTCAAAGTTTGTGTTGCTCATAGTGAGCTAAAAGTCATCTGAATGGAGGCCTGAAAATCATTAGCAAGAGTTCTATATTAAATATGACATAAACCAATATTTCTATTACTTCCTTAGCCACCAGCAGGACTGAGCTAACTATATGAAAAACCATGCTCAAAATGTATTTAAAACATTGCCACTTCCTGTGACACCATTGATGAATAATCCACAGCTGCCAGACTCGTATCATCACCTGAAATCCCAGTTGCCATGTTAAAATATATGATGCATTTGTAGTTAGCAAAATTCAAAAACATCATTTGAAAGCTTCATAAACATTTGGTGACCAGTATCCAAAATTATAAACAGCCAATTAGAGAACTAAACAAGGAATTTTTTTTTTCTCTGAAACATTAACATTTTAAAGGAAACACAATTCTTTCTGTAGGTGGATTCATAATTTTGAACATTTGAGGTTGTCATTACTGAAATATAACTAACAGGAATGGACAAACCAAAATAGCTTTGAAGGTAGCTGTGACTAAACCCTCTCTTAACAGGACTGAGTGCCAGTCATAGGTGAGCCTTATTTAAATTCCAGGTCAGAAAACCTGTAATACTGAAATATTTAGCACACTAAATACTAAAGTATCTAGTTCTCACTTATTGAGAATATTGGATGATGTGAATAGGTTTTTTTGGTTCAAGTTGCAGAAAAAGATTTTCCTTTCACAGATGCTCACTTTTGAGTGCTGCTTCTTTTGAATTGTAAAATGTGCTCAATGTTTATGGATTCTTCTGTTTTGGTGGATGTGGTCAAATTCTTTGGAAATTTGTAGGAAGTGCATTAAGATTTTAGTCGTTTTTTAGCAGATAGAAATCTGCAGGGTAGACCTGACCTTCCTGTTGACAATCACTGATTTTACCTTAGCTCAGGTTGCATTGTGGTTTCCTTCAGCAGTCACATTCAGGGATTCATTCCTACCAAAGAATTGGATCCATTAAAATGAAATTTTCTTGATTGGACCCCAGGCTCAGAGCAAAAACACCTGAATGTTATTGTTTTGCCACCATTTCACGGTGGGATTTTGTGAAAAAGAAAAAACTTTCCTGTGTCTGGTTTTCCTTAGTGAAAATAAGATGCATTGCAAAGCTAAATTAATTTTTAGAAAGCAAATAGAAATAGATGAAAATACCTTATTAGTACTTAACATTTAGTTCCATGTTCATTCATGTTGATATTTTAGAATCAGAGGTTTGTGAATTAAATATTTGGCCTCACAGTTTGTCATTTGGGGAAACATACTAAAAGAGTTCTGGGTCCCGTTTTGATGTTTTCATTAATATTTTTTACACTGTCGTTTTCTTGATTCTGTAAACCTTGTGTTTAGCACTTGCTGCTTCTTTCTTTGATACTATTCTACCAGTGTGTGCTAAGCATGGACCTGGAAGGTACA